TATTGCCGCTGCCGGATGCATATCACCGATAAAAACCACCGTGAGCCCTTCTTCCCGCTTGACTCCAACGCGCATTACGGTTCCTCCACTCTAATGCCAGCCCACTACCAGGACGACCACCGTCCTCGGTCGGGACATCTTCGCTCGCCCTCTCCACGCCGCCGCTCGTTTTCTCCTATGCGTCGAGAGCCCGCGCCTAACGAGGAGACTAGACGACATAGTTCCTGAGGCAAGAACTGCGAAAGTTTCAGTTTGCCCAAGTCCTCATTCATTACCTACCAATGTTATTGATGTGTTCATCGAAAATATCGCTACTGTCGCTCTTGTAGATACCGGTGCAGCTGTTTCTGTTATCAATGCTAGATTTTGCCGCTCCATTCGTAAGGTTACGATGCCTTTTTCTGGATTATCGGTTCGTACAGCCAGTGCTCAACCTGTTCAACCAACCACAGTCTGTACAGCCTGTGTAATCATTCAGGACGTTCTGTATACGATAGAGTTCATCGTTCTTTCATCGTGCTCCCATACAATTATTTTGGGATGGGACTTTTTGTCGCGTCATAACACCGTAATCGACTGTGCTCAGGCTGAGGTTGTATTTTGTTCACTGGATGACCGAGCCTTCGTCGACACCCAGTCTGCCGCTAAACTTGTCGTTAACGACGACACCTACATCCCTCCATGCCCTTTTGCGTTCCTACCAGTTTCATGCAGCGCCATATCCGACGGCACGGTCTTCTTCACACCATCTCCAATATTTGTCGCCCAAAGAGCTCTCCCACTGCCTTTTGCTACTCTCAACCTTGTAGAAGGCTCAACCCCAATGCCAATTTATAATCACGAGTCATCACCGTTATCCCTACTTTGCCACGAGTGCCTTGGCTACGTCGAGATGATCAGTTCTACCAGAAATATATCCGTCCCCGATGAGGCGTCTTCTACCTCCGTCTATGAACTGGCTGTGGTCTCCGCGGCTGACCCAACGTCGGCAAATATATTTCAACCATTCATCGCTGAAGATTTGACATCTTCGCAGCATTCACAGCTTCTCACTATCCTTGAGTGCTACCGCCATTCTTTCGACGTTGCACAAACATCTCTCAGCCGTGCCTTAGCAGTAGAACACCACATCGACACTGGGTCCCACTCACCGCAGCGACAAACTACCATATCGCGTGTCCGCTACAGAATGCCGCGCCATTGCTGACCAAGTAGACGACATGCTTTGCAGAGGGGTTATTCGACCTTTACAGAGCCCATGGGCGTCTCCGGTGGTCCTCGACAAAAAGAAAGATGGTTCTATTCATTTCTGTGTCGATTTCCTGCGATTGAACAAGATCACACTAAAGGATGTCTAACCACTGCTGCGCATTGACGATGCCTTAGACTGTTTACAGGGTGCAGAGTTTTTTTCCTCGTTAGACTAGCGGCCAGGCTACTGGCAGGTGCCGATGGCGGAAGCGGATCGCCCCAAAACCGCTTTAGTCACGCCAGACGGCTTATATGAATTTACCGTCATGCCCTTCGGACTTTGCAATGCGCCTGCAACATTCGATTGAATGACGTACAACATCCTGCGTGGAATTAAATGGAAGATCTGCTTGTGTTACCTCGATGATATCGTGGTCTTTGCCCCTAACTTTGACACACACTTACGTCGGCTTCAGCACGTCTTTACTTGCTTGACCAATGCCAGTTTGCAATTAAACCTCAAAAAATGTCGATTTGCCATGCGTCAACTAACCGTTTTGGGTCACGTTGTTTCCAAGAAAGGCATCCTCCCGGATCCTGAGCAATTGCGTGCTGTTACGGCGTTTCCTAAACCTGCCACCATCAAAGAACTTCGGAGTTTTATTGGCTTGTGTTCGTATTTCCGGCAATTCACCCGAAACTTTGCGTCTATTATATCACCTCTCACGCAACTCCTCGGCAACTGTAAAGACCTCTCATCGTGGTCATCTGCCTGCGACAAGGCTTTCACCACCTTGCGACGACTTCTCACGACGCCACCCATTCTATGCCATTTCGATCCTGAAGCTCCAACTGAAATCCACACTGACGCCAGTGGTGTAGGCCTGGGTGCAGTGCTCGCACAGCGTAAACCGGAGCATACGGAATACGTCGTGGTATACGCTAGTCGCACACACACCAAGGCAGAGAGCAGCTACAGCATCACAGAAAAGGAGTGTTTGACCATTGTGTGAGCCCTTGCAAAGTATTGCCCATATCTATAAGGCCGTTCTTTTGACATCGTGACCGACCACCATGTGCTGTGTTGGCTTTCGACGTTAAAAGACCCATCTGGCCGCCTCACTCGCTGGGCGTTTAAAATCCAAGATTATGACATATGCGTCGTTTATTGGTCAGTACGGAAGCATGCCGACGCTGACGCCCTTTCCCATTCCCCTCTTTCTCAGATTGCCACAGCTGACTCCGCTTGCGATCCCACATTGTCATCTCTTGACTTTGACACCATTGCTATCGAACAACGCAATGACCCGTGGACTGCGTCTCTTCTCAATCATCTCTCCGACACTTTTGAAGTCCCAAAGACGTGAACGCTCCGGTGCCAAGTTCCACACTTCTTGATACATGACACGCTTCTCTATCAATGCAACTATGCAACAGAGGGACGCAAGTGGCTGCTAGTCGTTCCACAAACCCTGAGGTCGCAGATCTGTTCCTCTTTCCACAGAGACCCACAATGTGGCCATGCAGGAGTCTTCAAGACCTACGAAAGGCTTCGACATCGTTACTACTGGCGTGGTATGTATTCCTTCATTCATAACTTCATCCACTCTTGTGTCGAATGTCAGGGCCAAAAATCTCCACAGCACACCTCCGCCCGTGAAATTGCAGCTTTCACCATGCCTTTTCTCCCGACCCTTTGAATGGGTCTAAATAGATCATTATGGGCTCCTTTCATTGACTCTGACTGGCAACAGGTGGATAATAGTTGCTATCGACCACCTAACGCGCTATGCCGAGACCGCAGCTCTTCAAACGGCTACAGCACAGGAGGTCACCACTTTCCTACTGCGTCGTTTTGTGCTACGTCATGAAGGCCCTCAAGAACTCCTCAGCGACCGTGGCCGCGCCTTCTTGTCCGAGGTCATTGAACAATCGCTCACTGAGTGTGCTATTGCACATCGCACATGTACCGCTTACCACCCTCAAACCAATGGGGCTACCGAGCGCTTTAATCGTACTCTCAGTGATATGCTCTCTATGTACGTGATGCCTGATCACAGTAACTGGGACTTAGTTCTCCCATTCATTACATACGCCTATAATACGGCAACGCAAGCAACAACAGGTTTCCCCCCTCTTTACTTCCTCTATGGCCGTGGCCCCTCCCACACCATTGACACCATTCTGTCCTATCGACCGGATGCATCCAAGTGCCTGCCGATCTTGGACGTTGCCAGACACGCAGAAGAATGTCGCCAGCTAGCTCGTCGCTTTACCTCCAATGACCAAAACCGGCAAAAATCAATTCATAATGCCCAGACCTCAACTCCTGTTTTTCTTCCGGGTGCCCTTGTGTGGCTGTCAGTGCTGCATCGCACACCTGGGCTCTCTTCCAAACTCCTGCCAAAGTATGATGGGCCATACCGTATTCTCGAACAGACTTCTGCAGTAAATTACCTCATTCAGCCTCTTACACCACCGTCAGACTTGCAACGTCGCAACTGCAAGATTGTACACGTCCAGAGACTCAAGCCGTACCATAGTTCAACGCCGCCTGCTTAGGACTGAGACGCCAGGATGTCTCCTTTTTTTCCGCGGGGCCATTATAAAGAAGAGAAAGTACTCCAGCGCAGAGGCAGCAGCATCGAGCGTGCAGCAGAGGCTCGAGCTCATGAACTGCGGCTGGTGCATCGCCTTACTAGCAACCTTTCCGCTCAATAAATCTCCTTTATAGTATGTTTGCAATTACATCCTCACAATTTCCTATAACGGCACAAGTATGCTTTCTCACATTTCAAGCACCAGTACTCACTTCAAGTATGTTTTGAAATATACTGAATTGAAAGGTAATATTTATTTGTTTTGCTCACAGAAAGTTGAAGGAAACAACACAGCTGCAAGGTTAACAAGTATATAATAAAAAACATATATTCAACAAAATTACGTGCCAGATACAAGAATTTTTATACCAGCACAGGTTTAGGGTAAGAATGTTGAATATTTTTCCCACTAAAATGTGAAAAACACCAAACTACACCACAAATTAAAATTTTTCATAAGTTTCATGAATGTGGCAATGAGAGCATGCAGGTTTATACCGGTGTACCACAAGGGCACAGAAAATGACATTGACCTCCTGTAATTCCAGGTTTAATGCCAGCAGCATGGCGCCACATGAGCAAATCGAATGGCACCCGCCTTAATGCCATTTGTCACCTAATGCCTTCGCTGGAACCCATTTCGCTGAGAAACACATACTCTCGACATCAAAGCTTGCTCACTGCAGTACACGTAAAAGATTTGAAATAACATCTATCCTTTAAAATAATATTTGATACGTGACTTTGAACAAATCACATGTCATTTCCCAGTTGCACTATAGTAAAGTTCACTTCACAATTGCAATGGCTTCAGCATGACGGGCACTGCACGAGATTTCAAGCATAGGATTCAACTCGCAATTACGAAAGTTTCTGTGACCAGTTGCAATGTATATAAAAGACAAGAGCAAACTCAAGCTAATGGCAGTACAGTAGCCTTACTTCTACATTCCAGTATCCGTGGACACAGATTAATTTTTTTCAATGCATGTTGCTATTTTATTACTGCCCTTAAAAAATCATTAATTTCAAAAGTCACTGTAACCATCATCTGATTGAGTGTCATTCAATTTAGACAGCAGCTGTACCAATTACAAAAGGCATTCAGGAACTAAAGCCTTCAGTGAATTTCATTTTTTGTGCCTGTGTCGTACGGGTACGACACAAAAAGAAAACTATTTGAAAGAAATAATGATGCAACATACTGACCTTTGTTCTAGACAGCCACTTTGCAAAAAGATAATCCTTTGGCTCATTGCCTTCCAACTTCAGTTTTGATGCTTGAAGGAGACAAGTAAATATTACATGCTTGTCTGTGCACAAGGAGTTCAAACTTGAGAAAGCCACCCTAAGGGTCACTTTCTCAACAGTGCACATTTTTATATAAACTAATGAAGAAGGAAATAAAAAAAAACATTTAACAAAAATCCTCTCAACATGCACACTGTAAATATATAACAGCAAAAAAGATTCAATGAGCAGCACAGTTACAGTAAATCAGGCGCATTAATTTTGTATCACTAATGTAAGTTGTGTGAATCCCGACAAATACTGCTGTGCATGTGGTCAACAGAATGCATACCACCGCTCTCACTTGAGTCAAAATAACCAGTTGCACAAGTTAAAAATAGACTTTAACTTTGTGATTCTGCCAAATTGCTGGTAATATCTTGGGGCCACCGACATTTTTTGTCTCTCTCTCTTCCACAAACACACACCAGTGTTGCGAAGCTGCCACTCCGGAATCGTAATGACTCGGGAATCATTCCACATTTTCGCAACTCCGGAATAGAATGGGGGCCACACTTGAAGGAATGGAATAAGAATGGAATGGGAATAGAATTACGTTTTTTTCGTGAAGATAAAGCACGTTTTCGCCCGGGCGCTGTTTTTCAAACTTTGAACACTAGTAAATCAGAGTCTCAAATTTAACAATGAAGCATTATTTTTAAAATGGCTTGGCAGATTACAAGCCATGTTCATTTATAAGCTACGTGCCTACTACAATTCTATCCTTATATAGACCGTGTTGCTCTAAAGTTTGTGTCCATTCTTCATATAACTGCGGTGTGATGTCATTGGTATTCATCACGTGGAACCACAGTGGCGGCATACCTCCCCCCTCCCCCTTGTGCCACATGATGTTTTTTCCCCTCAGCGGCGCCCCAGCTGTCTTCCCACCCTTCACATGTTTGTTTCACTTGTTGCTTTTGCTTTTGTCGCCGTCGGCGACTCGGACACATACTGGAAACAAAGTGCTTCTCTAAGTTGTGATTTCTTTTGACACTGGCGTGATGCTTGTGGGCAATGCAAGCTTTCATATACCAGCCTGCGCCGTCTCACCTCATTCACCCCCCAACCCCCCATCTTTTTGAAATACTGTTCCTCCTGTCTAGACTAGTGTTGCAGAATTGTGACTCTGGAATCGGTATGACTATAAAATCATTCCACATTTTGCTACCCCAGAGTGGAGTGAAAATGGAATTAAGCGCCTTTTGCACTCAATGGAATGAGAATCAAATTGCGTCTTTTTCCGAAAATAGAGCACATTTTAGTGTTTGCGCTGTTTTTTAAACTTAAAAAATTAGTAAGTGAGAGCCTCAAATTGAACAATAAATCAGTATGTTTGAAATGGCTCGGCTGATTACAAGCACGGTACATTTACAAGCAACGTGCCAACTACTACGCACCTGCTAGTATTACTACCTTTAGTTAGCTAGAGCCAGGGTTGGGTGTGTTGTAAAAGTGTGAAAGACCTGCCAATTTGTAAAAAGAAACCAATGCATAATTTAGCATACAAACACACGCATTTTCTCAGCAGATACTGAAGGGAGAAACAAATTAATTCTATGTGTTGGTTCCCATTGATACCCCTAGAGGAAAGTGACAAATACTCTATGCACAGCCTCATCTTTATCTCATGAGCAGTTTAGTATTTGACACACGCAAATGACTTTTGGTACAATGAAGACATTGTATTCCTGTGCACAGGCAGACACAGAAAGTTCTGAACCCATCCACACTTGCTAGGCCCATTTGACAAGCGTGAGTGCTGACGAGCAGTGCGACCCAGTGTTCTGTATTAGATGCAAAGGCACAAGGCCGCCGAGCGAAGCACTGTTCTAACTAATACCAGAAAATCTAGAGGGTTTTGTTCTCCATTAACGAAATCTTAGTTTTCTCCATGATCATGACCGCTCCAGACGTGTGGCAGAACTGCTCAATCTTTTTGAGCACTACTTTTGTCAGCATAAAATTATGCTACGCCGTCATTTTAGCATTAACACGTTTAAGCTTAAACAATATTAAAGTGCCACCAATTATTCAAACATGCTGACCATGTGAATACTACAGGTAGCGGGATAAGTCACCAAGCAACTATCCCTCTACCTTGGTAACATGTTTTGCGTACTTTTGCAGTTCTTAACACATCTGACAACATCAGCTTTATGGGGCGTTCATTCTTAACTCTGTAAAACTAGGTACATTCCTTTCCTACGTAAAGGAATTACAGGAATGGAAGTGCTCAGCCATTCCTGGAGTGGGCATGGGCTAAGTTTTTATTCCATGGAATGGAAAGGAATAGAATTTCTACAAGTTTTAATTCCCCGGAATAGAATTAAAATGGAATGAAGGCGCCCATTTTGCAACACTTTGCGGAATGTTCGATACTCTGTCGAAGAAGGTCTGTAGGACAGCACAGCACATACTGCTGCACTGATCGTACACGACTGTGTGCCCTCCCCCTTCGTACAGAGAGAGAGAAAATAAACTTTTGAAATTATTGGTTCTAGAAGCCAGCCAAATCAGGAGAGCCCACGCAACCATGGCCCAAACTCCGACACGACGATCCGCACTTGGGAAAATCCATGTTCACTCTGTTCTAGGATGGGAAGGGGAGAGGCCCGGGTGGCAGCGCCGCCGTGTTGGCGCCTGTTCGCGGCTAGAGGAGCACTGCCATAACCCACTACCACACTGGCCTGTGCGCCCAGCAGTTCACGCATGCAGTAAATTCGCCAACAAGGCACACTGAAAAACCGTTTTTCAAAATTATCTGCAAAGAAAACAAACAAGCTGTACGCTGCAAGCTTTGCTCTGAAACTATACATGCTGTAGTTCGAGTTTATCTAATTTGGTTCAGCACCTAAAAAGAAAGCACGAACGCGAGTACACACAACGAGAGAAAGGGCTAGTAAGCCAGCCGAGGATAACGTTTGCCTTCACCGCTTGGTGCAGCACAGTGCCTGTTAATCAAAATGCTGCTTTTGATGATGCCATAATTAACATGACTTGCACTCACGAGGAGCCCTTTCGTGTTGTAGCCCAATGTAGGAAAGGCATCAAAATGCCTTTGCTATGTTGAAAAATTACAGGAATTGCACTGCCTGTTTGTGTGCAAACAGTAAGGTTACTAAGAAAAAATTTAAATTTGGAAATGTGCCAATACCTATACAAACACTGAATGCAGGCATCCCATCTTTTAATGAATTGGTGCTCAAAAACATATTTATTTTGCAACCCGCAGTGTACCAACTTATGGAGGACAAAACAGCAACACTCTCCAAGCACAGACTATCAGTGGACTTTATTTTTAAAAAACAAAAAAAAAAGCTGCACTAGCCTTTTCTGCCATGTTGTGCACAATCTAAAAGATAAGCATACTTAGAGGAACTAACACAAAATTTCATGGGTGAGACAACCTGTGGGATCGATTCCCGTGCACATGCATACATCTGCAAATATAGCTTGGAAGGTATTTTAGATAAATTTTGAAGTTTGCATGCACGATCAACTCTCGCAGTATTGACACCCACAAATGTGATCCACGGTGATCCCCTTACTTCATTCACATCACCACGCTGCAGTAAATACAAATTATGATGACACCATAGCCACCATTTTTCTTTCACCAGGTTTGCACCAGCAGACTACTACTCGGCGGCAGCTCAAGAGTCTGTGGCTGCGGTGCATGCATTGAAACTTTTGTGTTTGGCGACACTGCTTTCCCATTTCCTGCTCTAAAAAACTTCTTAATGTGGCCCCTGCGGAAGTAGATCACAGTTCTGTGTGCTGGCACAATCGAGCGTTGCACACGCTAGGTGGTGATGGTTGCACCCGGGGGCTTCTCTATTTCGGAGCTTTCTCAAATCGAAACTGGTCGGTAACGAAGAGTATTGCAAATGAGTTCTGCAGAAACCCGCAAGGTGGCGGAAGTGTTAAGAACGGGAATGAAGACAACCACCCATTTGTAGCACGAAGCCACAAGGAAATCAATACGGATTTCTCAGAAAAAAAGCATCTTAGCTGCCTTGTGGCTTCATGCTACAAATGGGTGGTTGTCTTCTTTTCCTTTCTTAACGAACAGTACGTAATTATCTCTTGCACACTGCATCAAATGATGTGCCGTGCTATGACTAACAGGCCCCCAGCAAAACATTGCAGCAAAAAAACGTGAGGCCACAATTGCCAGTGCCCCTCGAAAGGAATCTTGCAACACTTTGAGCATGGTGCTGCACTATAATATTTGGCTTGCATGTTCTGGAGAGCCTCTACAACAGATCAGCAGCGTTTTCTGATCATGCTCAAAAAGTGTTGCAGGGCCCTCTAAAAAAAGAGAGAGAGAGAGAGAGATAGTTGTTAGGGTCACGAGCCGTGCGTGATTCATCTTCTTTCATGCCATCTCTTTTTGCTTAGCTTCCAGCACTTTAATTGATTCGAGAGAAGAGAGAAAGCAATCCAAGCATGCGACAAAGTTTTGTAACTCCGCTCATGCTAGACGAGTTCTAAAAATTTTTTTTGCCCGTCAATTCGTGAGGCAAGAGTAAATCCATTCCAACATTGCTTAGAAAAGTGTTCCACAGCCCCTTGAAGAGAGAAACAACATGTAGATGAAAGACGACAAAAACTTTATGCAAAAACAAGCATCGGTGGGTGCACCACAGTATTATGCATACAATCTTCAATTCCATAAACCTCAGTCAAATTTGTGAGCTTCTACAAACCTTACTTGCCATAATTTCTGTTAGCACTTTCAGTAAAGAGCTTCAAAGGAATCCTACACGAGTTCAGTGTACAAGTCAGGAAAACACATAAAGTGCTCAATTTCATGAATTACACTTCAATTTATGGACTTCTACAAGACAGATTTACAGTAATCTATGCTTCAAGTCATTAATCCAATGTTGCTCTGCATTTGCTAAACTCCTGCTTAGCTCAGATAGTAAAATGACTGCTCCAGAAAGGTGCAGGTGCAAGGCTTGATTTCCGGACCAGGACAAATTTTTATACAAGTGCTCCTTTCCGAGAAACCTGCAGTGACTCCTTCATAGCCTTGGTGCTGCAGTCAGGTGGATAACTTTACCTTTTGAAAACTTCACTCCACCTAGTGAGCTTCAAGAAAAAGCCTATTTGCTACCCTTTAGTTACTGCTCAGTTGGCTTCTTACTTAAGGGGGCTCTGCAACACTTTTCTGAGTTATTATACGTAGGAATAGTCTCGCCATTAGCGCACGATGCTTCACATGCCACAAAAATTTCTAGAATCCGTCAAGTATGAGCGCAGTTACAGGTATTTGTTGCACACTTTCTCTCTCCTTTCTCAGAGCTTTCTCTCTCCTTTCATGCCAGCAAGCAGTCTGAAAGCTACGCAGGCAGGGGAATGACAAGGGGGCAAGCATATACGTCCCTTGTCAGTGTGTGCCATGACCTTGAGCACTTTCTTTTCTTGTTTCTCATTGAGTGCACAATTAACTTTTAGCAAGATCACGAGCGCACACATGCGCACGTGGCAGCATCTTGCAGGAGCCATGGCAACTTAGCAACATAAAATGTGCAGAAATTTGGGTGAATGACATCATTAATAAAGAGAAAAAAGGGCATCTTATAGCTCGCATGCCACACTATAATGTTTGGCTCACATGTTCTCAGGAGCCTCGACTACCGGTCAGCAGCATTTTCTGACCATGCTCGACCATACTACACTACAACCTGTCAAACTATTTGAGTATTTCTACTCTCCTGTAGAGAGTTGGCTGTTTACAAAGCAGGTATTTTTATGCCATATATCGTCAATAAAACGAGTTTCCAGATTTTCACTGCTCAGCACATCTCAACTTTTGAAGTTACTCATGGCATCAAATAATAATCTTAATAGGCATGAATAATAATCTTAAGATTGAAAGAGTTAAAAAATATTTTCCTGGGACATGGTGAAGTTGTGACATGTTACGTTACTGTTTACTAGCTTCACTTAAGTTTCTCTAGTTATTTTCAATATGCTTTCAGATCAATATTTTATAATTATATTACATCTTCTTCTTGTTATAGACATAAAAACAACTACTGTTTAAGCCTATAAATTGAGTTACCACCCAATCTTGATAGCCCTGTATGTAGTGAGGTATGAAAACAAAAAATGAATAACAGGTATGGCAATTTTTCTTAATTTTCCCTTTGAGCAGATATAACAAAGAGCGTAGAGCCTACACCCCGAAATGGGCATTGGCATTTAGCACTGCAGAGCATTTAATGAAGGCATTGATCTTACCCAGCTTGGAGAAGTCGCAGACTAAAAAATAGCCTCCCTCAGGCACAGTAGGTGTCATGCCAACAGAGCTAAGAAAACTGCAGATGAAGTCACGCTTCTTTTGCAGGGAGCTTGAGAGACTGTTCCAGTATCCCTCAGGGTCTTCTATTTGTTCCATTTCCTTTTCTAAGCCCACTGCTATCGCTTCCTGAAAAGTGTGCATAGCCAGCCAAAAGAAACAGAACACCATAATGAATGCTTTGCTACTAATTCTTGGTCTTTTTGATAAGGTCCCTAAAGAAACCTAACACAAAAAGAAAATCACATTGCCACGAGCATTCACACATGCAGCAAACATTCCCAATGTAGAAATGCATGCAACAGTTTTTTTTTAGGGCAAAAGTCTGTGCAGATTTCTTTCATCGAGAACCGTAACACATTTCAACTAATGAGGCAATGAATGCTTAATTAACACTTTTTGAAAAAAGTTAAATCACTTTCAGTAGTTCAACCATGCTTTTAGGCTGAGTTTAGTATGAGCAGGCAAAGATAGCATAGACCATACAAAATGGTTAGGCTGAACAGGTGAAATAACATCAAATATGCTGAACAAACACACAGCTACTATCAAGTGCAGAGCACTTTAGGAGCCTGGGCTGTCATATTCAGTCGTCCTCTGCTGTCATAGCTTGACATAATGCAGGCAAAATCACAATTAGTATAGCATATTAAGCGTGTCCCCGCCAAGAAGTCTTCTTTCTCTTGTTCTTCAAGTGCCTTGATGATGATAAGTTCAGATCACTTTAGTGACCAGGCCTGTGATATGCTGTCATAGCTTGGCATAACACAGGCAAAACCAAGTGCAAAAATCAAGCGAGATATAGAAACAGAGAAAAATGAAAGGGGAAAAAATAGGAAGAGCAAGAAAGAGAAAGAAATAGGCAGAGAGAGAAGAAGAAATAGAAAGAGAAGAAAAGAAACAGCAAAAAATGAAAAAAAACACCAAAGAGAAATAAAAAAGGCTGTCCAGCTCTGCACATCCACACTTCCATCATGCTTGGCACACCTAGTGCGAAGCCGCCTTAATTGTTTTACTTTTTAATTAACCCTAAAAGATTACCGTACAGCATAAAGCACTACTACAGGGCAAATTCTTGTTAGGCATCCACTACCACAGAAAACAGTTGTTCCTCATATGCCATATTTTTCTAACATGTTTGCATAATGAGCCATCTGTGTAGAAACATTTTCTTTTCTGGGATGACATGGGAGTAAAAAATAATCAGGAGCTTTTCCTGGCTACAGTTCCTTGTGATTTTTTTTAGGTCTTTCATTTTCTAGTAGTGGACTAAAAACTACACTAAAGGGACTTCACGTGGCGACAAGCATTAAAAATACTTGTTCTACACACCTTTTGTATTCAAGAACGATACCTTAAAAGTTTATGAGCCATGGTAATTGTGAAAAACCTGTATTCCCATGAAGCCGAAGCACATAGCCTAAAATTTCGTTGCTTATAATCTGTAGTAGTTACTTGTGACCCGCCAAAAAGGCATCCAGGTCTGACACGAACCCAAGTCCTATAAACTTTTGCCATTGGTGGCACATACATTCAGAAGGACCTACCCCATTCACAGGCCCTCAATGTAAACAAGGATGTAGCAGAGACTCAATAATTGCAAGGGTGTGATAAATTACACCAAATTACATCAATCAACAAATGCATTTTTTTTTAAAAACAGCTTCATACTAAACTGAACATAAATAAAGGAATCTAAATGATTGCTATTCATATTACAGTAGCAAACAAGCCAATAAAAAAAATCAGGCACTTTTTGTTAAAGGGACACTAAAGGCAACTATTAAGGCGACGTTTATTGTTGAAATAGTGGTCCAGAAACATCCTAGTGTTACTTTTGTGCCAAGAAAGGGCTCATTTGAAATAAAATCACGTTTCAGAGGTTCGCATCGGGTCAGCCCACTTCAAATTACCCACCTCAAGAAGCAGACCATCTCACTTCACTGTGGCCGAGCACAACGTTGCCCCACTTTACTGCGCGGCTGCCGAAACTAGAAGCAGCAGAACGAAAACAGCAAGAGCCACAGCAGCAACAACGGCCATTGATCAATTTCCTGCCGTTGGGTCCGAGATGGCAGGCAATTTTCGGTTCAACTGGGCCGCTATATGGCACGACCTGTCCAATTTAACTAGGCAAAAATTGAATTTTTGAACCACTCATGCCATTCCCCATAGTAACGTCCAGCCGTTCTTTTTTCCATGAATCAAACAGAAATGAACAAAGAGCATTTTATTGCGTCTCTTGATGCACGGAAGGTTCTTTATTTAGTACAGCTAGATTGATTACTTGTGAATAATTGTAGGCGGCTCGTCTGACGTCATCGGGATCATTTAAGAATGTCCATGTGTTCTTGTGCATTTACCTTAATTTCTCGGTAAGTAGGGTACTGCTGTTGATAATATTGTCGTTTTATATGTTGTCATACATTGAGTTTTTACTCCGACGTAAATTGTTATTTGATTTTAGTGTCTCTTTAAGATTGCAAACATAAACAGATATGATAGCAGCAGGCTATGAAACCAGAAAAGTAGGGCCTGTACAGTATATACGAGAAAGGGTCGAGGACCTAGAACAGTACTACACTCAAATCTCTATATAACAAATTTGGATATAATAAATTATAGTTTGTAATGAAGTATGTGAAGAATAGCTTTCTAATAGATACAGTGTTTACAAATAATCGTTTATAACAAATTTTCGTATATAACTAAGTATTTTTGTGGCATATGTGACTTTGTTATAATGAGGTTTGAGTATACATGCATACGCTGATCATATTTTCCTCACTTGCCCTTTCTCTACCTCTTTTTTATGCTGTTATCTGCCTGTCACAAGGGCACCCATGAACTCAGTTTAACTGCCTCATCATTTCGCCCCGGAAGATGCTGCCTGTGTCACACAATCTCTGCTACGCCAAGGCAGTTAAACAGGGCATTTTGCAAAGGGAGTTCAGTAATCTCCATAAGTGGCGGAACAAACTACTGTCGTCCCCAGTAATCTGTACTTACGAAAAAGAACGGCTGACGCAAAACAGCTGCCACGAACATAGTAATAAATTTTATCAATATAAAAGTTCTTTCATTGCATAATTCACTCATAACGTGCATTTAACAAAAAAAATTAAAAATACACATGCACATGCACGTACTCTTCGCACCATGCCGCACGAAAAACAGTCAGCTGCCATTTTACGTAAGTGTCCCCAAGTTCATGCGCACCGTTGTGCTGAAATCTGTGCATCTCATGCTGTTTTCCTTGCGGTGCTCTTTAATCGACTTGAACATTACAAAAAGTCCTAGGAGTGCGTGACGCAAGTTCTTCCTCTTCGACGACCCCGGCGGTTGTGCCAGCAGCACATGCTAACCATGAGGGACCCATTTGCAGCAAAGGCTTTGTAGACTGAACATGAGAACTGTGCTCATCCAGTATTCGCACTGTCTGCGGCCTAAAGTGGCGCATAATGCAAACCAACATGGCAGTCCAGTGGAGAATAGAGAGCAAGTAGGACGACATGGAAGCATGCTGTAGAATACGTTTTGACAAATTTATGAAACCATGATGCCTTCATTGCACGACATCATGTTCCACATTGAAATAAATTACAAATATGTTATGCATATAATCAGGGGGAAATAAGTACAAATTTGTAAAACCAACAAATTTGTAAACCAATTCGCAACACGAAGACGCTGTCTCAAAGTAATTTGCGAGCAACGAGTGCTTCTTCATTCTCCGCTGCACTGACCTGCTCATGCCACTTTAGTTTTCCCATAAATAAATGTGGCAAGGAGATGCACTGCCTGTGACTGCCCCATTGCCATCTACCAATTATACAGCGGCTGCATTATTTCATGTACAGCTCACCCACTTCCTGTTTTGGAAGGTGTGGCAGGCAGTTTTTGAAAAGAAAAGAGGTAGAAACGCACCATCTCTGTCACACACGACGCTTCGTCGCTGGCAAAAACAAATTGCTTGTTAGTACGAAACCATGTGGAAGAATTTATTTATTTAGATTAAATGATGCCTACATCGGTGAATTATTTGATTCATCATGAGCAGTAAGCTTATAATACAAGCCATTCACCAGTGTCGGCACTATTTATTATAAAGAAGATATACTTTAGCATGGTACCATTCTGAGAGGGACCTTATTGATCGTGTTGCATGTAAATAATACCAACAAAACTTGCGTGCAGAGTATAAGAGAGCCCTTATTGTTGTTTCAGTTTCGTTAAAAAAGATCCACGTTCAGTGGCTGAAGGGTGGGGTGAGTGGCTAATATAATGAAGCGCTAGGAGATACTGACATGCATAAGCTTATCTTAACAACAATACTACAACACATGGTTTGACCATGTGACTGACTTTGGAAAATCAAACAAGTGAATGATGTTTAGAAAACAGGAAACTAAAAGTTTAAATGTAACCTGCGCCTTTGTGTTTTCTGTCTGCATGAGTCCAGTTCGTGCTTTTTTATTCTTCCTAGAAAGTATGCCCCCACTTCTGCTTCTTAGGATGGCATACGATCATTGTTTGATATGTTGGGTTTAACATCCCAAAACCACCATATGATTCTGAGAGACGCCGTAGTGGAGGGCTCCTGAAATTTCGACCACCTGGGGTTCTTCAATGTGCACCCAAATCTGAGCACACGGGCCTACAATATTTCCACCTCCATCAGAAATGCAGCCGCCGCAGACAGGATTTGATCCCGCGACCTGGGGGTCAGCAGCCGAGTACCTTAGCCACTAGACCACCACGGCGGGGCTACGATCAGCGTATTGAAGTGGCTCAGGCTTGCCTACTGATCATCACGCATTCAATCACCATGCATTTTTCATGGGTATATTTGAGTACAAAAAAAAAAAGGTGACAGCTTTTGCTGGTAACCAACTTTGTACACTGGAGCACAGCACCTATATGTTGGATATTGCTACTCTTGATCATTGTGAGCATGAAGCAGGCAAACAAAAGCACCTCTGCCTGCATAGCAGGTGTTGGCAGGGCCCGAACTAGCCATGTGAAAGTGCGTTGTAATCTGCTAATCCTCCTCGTGGCATTTTTCTCTATCCGCTGTGCAGTGCTACCGTCTACGGAAAGTGCGAAGTGGAAAGACCAACGTGACCTAGTTAACAGCCCAACTTCAAAGAAATCGACAACAGCTTCCGCTGTGTTTGACAATCAGCGCACATATAAAAAACGCATAGCAAGCATAGTACAGTGTTGCCAGAACTTGTATCAACATCGCTGCCAACATGCTTGCAGGCACGTTTCCATGATAAAACCTAATGACTTTTTTCAATTTCAGTTTGAGTGAAATATAGTTTTTTATAATTATTTGTACAATTGAAAATGGATATGTCTCCAACAGAGTATGCCCCTATGCGCTCGGGTGCACTGCCTTCAAAACTTGACATTACGGCAACTTCCACCGTCAGCTTTACGAGGGCAATAACACATCACATATTGATAATGTTATGTTGCTTCTGTGTGTTAAGTTTCTTTAGGTGGCATTACTGCACAGCGGTAAGAAATAGTGGGAAAAGAAAACAAACCTTATCAGTGAGAGAAAATCGGTAACACGTCATCCTTCTGGAAGCCGTAGCAGGCGTGCACCATTTCAAGGTTGGAGCACCTACACTTCGTAATCACACATCAAAAGCCACTTTTTAACCTATAAGTTTAGAACAGTGCACTCCACTATCTAGAGCACGCCTGAGCTCCTTAAAGGGACACTAAAGTCAAGTAACAACTTATATTGGTGTGAAAGCTCAATGTGTGACAACGTCTAAGATGGTAATATTATCAACAGCAGTGCCCTACTTACCGAGAAATTGATGTAAATGCACGAGAATGCATGTGCCACAAGTAGGACATTTGCAAAATAATCTCGATGGCATCAGAGTTACCGCATATAATTAATCACTAGTTAATCGGACTAGCTGCACTAAATAAAGAACCTTTAGTGCATGATGAGACGTAATAAAATGCTGCTCGTTCGTTTCCGTTTGATTCATAGAAAAAAGAACTGTCAAACGTAACTATGGAGAATGGCGCGAGCGATTCAAAAGGTCAATTTTCACGTGGTTAATCTGGACAGGTCGTGCCATGTAGTGGGGCCCAGTTGAACCAAACACACCTGCCACCTCAGAAACCATGGCGAAAAATTGTTCAGTGGCCGTTGTTGCTGCGGTGGCTCCTGCCTACTTTCGCTCTGCTGCTACTAGTGTCAACGGTCGCGCAGTAAAGCCAGGCAACATTGTGCACGGCAACACTGTGCACGGCAACAGTGACGTGAAAGTTTCCACTTGAGGCGAGTAATATGAAGTGTGCTAACGCAATGAGGACCGCTAAAACATTATTTTATTTCAAAATAAGCACTTCCTTGACACAAAAGTAGCACTACGAGGTTTCTGGACCACTATCTCAGCAATCAACATCGACTTAATATTTGCCTTTAGTGTCCCCTTAACTTAACAGGCCCAATGTTTTAGCATGATAGATGCAAAATTTTGCACGCAGACGCAGATGCAGCAGTGCTTAATGGGCCCTTTCGGGTTTTTGTCCAAAGCTTGTAAAATTGCAAAATGACATGGCCACAGCTCCATTGCCAATGAACTCCGTAATGGAACTTTAAGATGATGGAGTTCAACGGAGTTCAGTGGTGGCCACGTGACAGAGGTAGTATTATTTTCTGTCCAAATATGCACATTTTAACCTTTCACGTGCCCAGAGATAAATAGACAAAGATGGAGCTGTCAACCTACCTGGAGAAGAGTGCTGAGAGTATAGATGCAGTTCTGATGAATGAGCTGCAGCCCTTTCAGCAAGTGTTGAGGACCATAGGCCCAACCAACCTGCATACATATTGCAGGTACTGCAATCACACGACACCGAGTTGCACAAAAAAACTGTCTCATTTCATATTTGGCAGGCAACACTGCAGAACCTGTACAGTGGAATTCATTCCTAACAATATTCAAGTGCTATAGATATTCCAGTTTTTAAAATCTATAATTGTCATGACAGGCTTGCACCAAAAAGAAAGAGGCAAAGAGACACTGGCAGAGCTTCTGTTATTATGAAGGCAATGCTGCTAGTAACACTGCCCTCCTACCCACACTAAGTGGCTACAGCAGCCTTTGGTCACATGAAATTGTTTGATGCATACAATCACAACACAAAATATTCTGCTGGAGTATCAGTAAATCTTGCAACATGCTTGATTTACGACCACCTGTCTTAAACATTTATGATGCTACGTAGCAACCAGACGGTTCCTGTTAAACCCCTGGCCATTTATTAGTAATGCAAACATGACATACATAACCATAAAAGTACATTATAGTTGAGTAAATACGATGCTCTAGTTCATAGTATTCTCTCCACTATGACCAGCAGGCTTACAATCTGCGAGCATGAAAATGAACAAATAACAAGCTGAACATGTTACCAAAGGGGCACAGTATGTGTGGACCTACCTTCCAACCAGTTATGCTGAATGTCTTCCCTGCACTACCAATAGTAATCGTCCTTTCCCACATTCCTGGAAGGGTGTCTGAAACAAAGTGAATTGCCATATAATAAATGTAAAATAGTGGTGAACAACCTGGCTTCAGAGAGCGATATTCCAGAACAGATCATGTACTTGCTTACCAAGGTCCATGGAGCAAGAGTACAATCAAACTAAAACGGAACCTGAACGGACAGGAAAAATATGTTCCATTTAACAGGAGTTCCGTTTAATGAGAAGTAAATGTACATAGATGCAGAATACAAGCCCGAAACCAAGCATTGCAGAGGCAATAGTTCCGTTCAAGCAGCAGTTCCGTTTAACAGATTTCCGTTTCCTGATAGTCTACTGAATTCTACGTGGCCTTTATAGATTAGCAGAAGCATTTCTTAGAAGCATTTGAGGTGGCAGCAGTTTCTTCACTGATTTATAAATTGTTCCCATAGTTTGATACCATGAAACAATGCTGTCTATGGTGATGCCATAGTGGAGGGCTCCAGATGAACTTATAGACATTGCTACAGCACTGCTACATGACTTTTGCGCTCGTTTCATGTCCTCTAGTCCACAAGAAGCTACACAAGGAAGATGGCAAGATGACAAGGCTCTGCCTAAAAATGAAATTCGCATGAGTCATGCCATTAAGCTTTTTTTTAATTCCAGTCTCGTCAACATGCAGGAGTACAATGTGCAGACAGGCTTTGTGCTAAACCAGCTCAACTAACAGACATTCACCAAATCCAGATTGTAAATTATGCACTGCAATTGATTTTCAACACAATCTGTATATGTACCCTGTCCTCAATTCCAAGCAAAGGAGAAGAAGAGGTCAACTACAAAAATAGGTGCGGGTGAAAAGGGACAATGAGAGGCCGCCACCATGACAAACTGGGCGAGTCAAAAAGGAAACAGGTAGTCCGGAAAAAGAAAACAAAAAGGCAGGGGTGGAGGGGGGTAGATGTTTCACTTAATTATGGTTGTTGGAAGGAAGCACCGCTTAAAAATGGTAGGTTAGAAATTCCTAGAATTTACCGAAAGCAACGGCATAGCATTTCAATTAAGCAGGTCACAACTTTGACAACCTTAAACTTTACATCCTTCGGTTAGACTTCTGGTACCTAAGAGACAAGAAATATACCCGATTCACATACCTGATTCACAAGTTCAATAAATCGCAGCCAGCAGGTATAACCATATCAGATGGGGCTCTTGAATCCATTTAATATGGTGCATACACATTGAAAACCAATGAGTGTTAAGCCCTTCTTTTACTAATGTTAACCTACAATCGTTAAGCTGTGTTATCTTCTGACAATCATATTTCAGCAAAACATGTACTCCCCTCCCAACCCCGCCACCTTATTATTTTTTTTTCTTCTTTTCACAGAATACCCCTTCACTTTTTTCACTCGCCCAATTCATCAGGGTGGCCCTCTCATTGTCTTCTGCATGCACCCCTGCTTTCACAGTTGCCCTCCCCTTCTCCTTTGGTTAGATTGGAGAAGAGGGTATCAAGCATGTTTGCATAAACACAAAGGCAATCAGTTGCAGCCTTGAAAAATACAAGTGCGCTCATCAAAATGCCTGCTCGAACGTCTGCCCCCTCCCATTTGCAATTTTATCATCGCAAGCTTCCATTTTTCATTCCTGTTTTTTTTTTTCTTTCTACAACATGCAGTGCAATAACATTTGGCTTTGCTGTTCACAGTAGCTGTGACTAGAAATTGGCAACGCCTTCTGACTTTGTTAAAAAATCTTTACAGTTTTTATGAAAATCAAAAGAGGCGCTCTATACAGGAGACTTGCAATTTCATGCCAAAAACAGCAAAAAATCATTTGCCTTTTCCTTTGTAATGTTGTCATCAACTACACAAGTGGGCCCCAATACGTACAAATGAGCCTGATAGGTAGTGCATAATTTCATAATAATGAAAACATTCTCGGTAATAGCATTATTGAAAATATTCAGTTAAACAAATGATTATACATATCTGTGTTATCAAGAAGCCTGAAAAAGTTCACATTTGTTCTTTTGCTCTATATAATGAAGGTCACCTGCTTAAAGTTCCATTTTGTCTTGTATTCATAAGAGCACCCTGTGTAACACATTTATGCTTTTTCAAACACTATGTTCCTATGTCAATCATTTGTCTCTTAGCGAGTACGCTATGACAGTACTTACTAATCCATATCATCATATTTTATACGACTGTTACGAGTGCCAAAACGCAATAGTTTTTTCTATGCACATTGCAAGATGGATGCATTGGTAAACATTATCTACTTCAGATTTGTCTAACTGAAAGCACATCAAACTGATTTGATTGATATGTGGGGTTTAACGTCCCAAAACCACCATATGATTATGAGAGATGCCGTAGTGAAGGGCTCCGGAAATTTCGACCACCTGGGGTTCTTTAACGTGCACCCAAATCTGAGCACACATGCCTACAACATTTACGCCTACATTGAAACTGCAGCTGCCGCAGCCGGGATTCGATCACGCAACCTGCGGGTCTAGCAACCTTAGCCACTAGACCACAGCGGCGGGGCGAAAGCACTTCAAACTGCGCATGGTTATGAAGCCAAGGTCACATGCACAACAGGCATAGGTCGGCAAACTCACTCATGAGTCGATGCAGTCAGGCTCAGATCAACCCACGAGTCTAGTTTGAGCCCCAATGAAGCTAGATGAGTAGCATTCTGGCGAGTTTGAGTGAGTCCGGTTGAGGAAAATTTTAGCGAGTTTGAGTCAGCGTGAGCCCTTGAGTGAGTCTGAGTGAGCTACACCTTTTATTACTGACCTATGGTCGTATCTACTTTCCTAACAGCATTCCTATCAGCCTTTTATGAGCTTATGGACTCAAGTCTACTCACACATACCTCCACGTACTAGCTTTCATGTGCCACCTCAATGTTTACTGATCATAGGCATGAGCTGGAATGAGGGGAGGTACAAATACTCCCCCCAATGGCGTAAATCTAGAAAAATCGCGAGGGGGCACCCAAATCTTGCCATAATGGCTATTTTGTTTTTACAAATGTAGGTTTCATTTTTTTTAATTATATAAACAATTAAAATCATATGTCTAGATATGTAATCCCAAAATAATCATGGGTTCTCAGTTCATGTAATTGCATTGTTCTATTGAGTTTTCTTAAAACCAGTCGAGCAACACCCGTGATTAAAATAATTTTGCACTGTTTAAGTGAATCAACACAAGTACAAGCTACAAAATAACCAGGCATTAAAAAAGTTGAATGCCCTAAACTTAAATGTCATCTAGTTCAAATAGATGATGTCGAATAGTTAAATCTCAAAGAGGGACACTTGTAAAGGGTGCCCCTCCCCCTGTGATTTACGCCAGTGCTTCCTCCCCTCAAATCTTTCGCAGGACATCCCTGATAGGTATATGTAGTGTGAGTCGCATATTTCATAACAAAATCCTTACTGAATTGCAACCACTCATATTTCGTATTTGAAACCACAAGATAAAATGGCATATTGTAGAGCACCGATTACGTGAGATATTGGCTTTGACCCTTTAACTACTTTGGACGAGCAGAGTTCGTTCTGCCCCAACAGTCAGCAAACTGCTTTGGACGAGTAGAAGTCATCCTAGTGAAATAGGTACTCCCCTATCGTTCAGGTGGAAAAGCACGCATTTACGGGTTACAATTCGTGTCAACCACTAAATGGCAGCATTTGCTCGAGGATTTAGTTTTCTCCTGCAGCTGTAGCGTGGTATTCGTATGGAAAGACGGCGTGTAGTAGCAACCACCCACGCATATATAGCTGGTTCGTGAACACAAAAAAGCAGCTATTTGTTTTCGCCATCTTCTTTAGGTGATGACGATTCCAATACAGATATTCATCTATCTTGTGTCCAGGAGTGAAGACAGAGATGAAGGTGAATGAGTAGCTCCTCTGGTGATGATGAAAAAGACGCGAACACTGCGAGTGCCAGCCAGTGAAGCCACCTTGCGTTAGTCCGCAATTTGAAATTTTCCACACAGCCCCGTAGCTTCCAGAGTGAAATACCCCAAGGGTGCTTAGCCTACACAAGTGAAGAAAAATATGGCATCAGTAATTGTTTTGTTTATAAGCTTTTTAAACTTTATTACCACCAGGTAGCTGGTTTCCTATGTATTGTTCAGAAACAAGCTTTATGCCGTGGATTTGACTAAGTAAAGTATGTGGTGAAAATATTTTTTCAACACCAACTAGCTACTTTTTAGTACAATCAGGATCAAAATCAGCAATAAGAAAATTAGGCACTTTCTGACCAGAAAATGTTTTTTAAAATGAGCAGTTAAGGGGTCAAACAGTGTTCACACCATGATCAAAAAAGCTAATTTTATGCCAGCAGACTCGCGAGTTCACTCACTCAGGCCCACTCAGACTCAGATCAAGCCGCGTGTCTTAGCCTGAATGAGTAGGACTACGCAATATGTTGGCGACTTTCAGTTCGAGTACGTCTGGTCGGGAGAAAGTTTAGTGAGTTCAAGTGAGTTCTGTTGAGGAAAATTTCGGTGAGTCTGAGTGAGCATCAATTGTTTTGCCAACCTGCGACAACAGGTACCAGACTGTTAGACGACAAGTGAGAAGCATACAGCTGCATAACAGACAAACACAAATGTACCAACAGCTGTCAAATTTCAAGTAGTTATTATTTTAGTGAAACGCAGCATTGACAGAGAGTCTATAGATATACTTTGCATACTGCCGGCACAACAAAGAACAACAAAGTTGAGTTTACCAGTGGAAATTGTTGTTTCACACTGCCAAATTATTCTGACATCCTGTGGCACTGTTCACATATCAAAATTCAGCAAGCAACTCAATCTGCACCATCACGTGAAGTACTAATGCAGACAAAAACGTATGCAAATGATTTCACTTTTTATCCTGATCAGAATGTGGCTGGTGTAGTCAGCAGTTGAATTCAAGCCCTTGTTATAATTTACACCAGGATGTTGTAGCCACTGAACCTATGTAGCCCACCATATTGAATAAAAAAAGTCACAGGCTCTCATACTTACTCATTCTGATATGCTTGGAACCTTCATAAATGATCCATTCGTAAACCTCATCCATGACGCAGATCACATTGTGCTTCTTGCAAAGCTCTGCAATCATTTCCAGTTCTTCCCTGGAGAAAACCTGCCCAATCAATATTATAAGCTGACGTTAGTTTCTGCTTTGATAAAATGGCATGACAAAAAAAAAGATGTCTTGAGAAAGGGGTATAACCAATCAGCTGGGTGTGATGCTCATTGATTTCATGACTAAGACTTAAGCAGTGTGAGCATCAATTGTTTTGCCAACCTGCGACAACAGGTACTTAAACAGAACCACAACCTAGCAACATTGGAACTGTTTTGCGATAAAGCAATAAATAGCAACACCCTACAATAAATGTTTGTACTAACACAGCATCAAGAGAGTAAGTAAAGCACAATTATTTCATTACCACGAAATACAAAATGTGCAGCAAGTGTCACAATCTCCAATATGTAACTGGTACTTCAAAACTGCATAGTCTCAAAGAAACCATGAACCTTATGAGGCAGCTGAAAGATGCGGTGTTGTACACTTTTCGGCATGAAGAACTTTGGTAAGATCCTATTTCCATCATCGTAAAGAAAAGCACTCTCAGACAAGATGCTTCATAACAGCACAAGACAAACCTAGGTGCTCTGTTTTGCAGTCTCTTTTAAAGGACCAATACAAAATCCCTGCAAGTGCATCTCATAATAGAGACATTAACACAAATTGCTGCATAATATATTATATTTTATAAAGCATAAATAAAGTGGCTGACCTTCCCAATAGGGTTGTGTGGCGTGTTTACAATAATCATCTTAGTCTTGGAGGTAAACTTTGAGGCCAACTCCTTTGGATCTAGCACCCAGTCAGCACTAGATATCTGCCCTTGCTTCCTCTGAAAGGACAAGGAAACAGGTAATTACACAGCAGAGCTTGCAATTTCAAATGTACACCCACAGAAAAAAAAAAACCTACAATAAGGCAAAAATACTTTTCTTTCAAGACAAAAACGTGCCTGAGCAAGCTAAAAAGTACAAAACAAAAAAAGGCAAGTCAATAGTGGTTTAACTTGAAAGACAAAGTCCTCGGGTGCATTAGTGTGCCAAGTTGTTTTTTTTTTCTTTCATCTTGTTCTTTGGGAGAGAAGAGGCACTACCCTAGAAGATCTTCTCCTTCTTCAATGCCAACCACTGCCAAGATGCCTGAACTTCACTTAACCCACTCTACCAGCACCTTACTCTTGCAAAGGACCCCCTAAATTTATTCTAGACTGCGCACCCATCGGGAAGGACCCGCATTTTTAGTAAGTGAGTGAAATAACTTTATTGACTCCACAATAGACGCAAGTTAACTAAGCTTCACCTGGCTAGGCCCACTCGGGGACGGTCAGGCCATCGTGCGGGCCCTCTGGACGACCAGGATATTTAGTAGAGTCTAAAGCAATGCTTGTGGTTCCAATTCTAAGTGTGTGTAGCTTGAACGAGTTTTAATGGTTCCACTTTTAGACGAGCGCAGCATAGATTTCAGCTGGTTTATGTTACACACATACTTCACTGTTTTGAATGTAATTCTTTCTCATCCTTTTACAGCCCGGGTCACGAACAGTTGTCCGCTGCCGCCGCCGCTAGTGTCCGTAACCACATCATGCGAAATTAGGAAAAAAACCTAGCACCAATCACAGTGGGGCTGGAACCCGGGCCCGCTGAGTGCCAGCCCAGTATTCTACCAGTGAGCCACACCGGTGCTTGGGACTTGTTGGCAAACTTGCCTTAGGCAGACTTGATGTCGAGAAAGCAATCACGTTAATACGACTTATAAAGCGTTTTAGAACATCAAAAGAACAACTATTCGTCGCACAATGCAAATAGCATAACGAGTGAGTCATCCAATGCTCCAAACTATTACAAAAGCTTGTTCTTGTTCCCCTATTAACTGTGCTGCATACCCACTTCAGCCATGATTCCCCATCGTCGTCAGCCACTGCATGAACAATTGGCACATTCGTTGCAATTGTTTAGCGCATACGACGCTACTCAGAACAATGACAAAAAATAGCATAACAAATGCTGGCCTACTACCCAAAAAATTTCATTATTAATGCCCTAGTGGGTATCAAGCAAGTGTGCTTGCAGTAGTTACCCAATGAGTGTTTTGAAAGGCTCTGAAAGGCCGCTCTTCTAGCTTTCGCTGTGACTTTGCTGCAACTTCCGCGCAGGCCTGGCGTTTTTTTTTTTTTCTTCCGAGATTCACTTTGACGCCCCCCCCCCCCCCCTTTCTTTTTTTTTCTTTTTTCTTTTTTTTTTCTGTCCAACGTGCACTCGAAGATCTCAAGTCAGAAAACAGAAATGAGATACTTGGACGTTGCAAACCACACATCTATATAAAATCACCGAAGACTTTGCCATCAAAATGACAAACCCAAGAAAACTTCCCAACTGTGCTAGAATAGTGCAAAATCACAGGAGAGGTTCCCTAGACTGATATTTCCTCGCAACAAATTATGCTTAATTATATGCTAGTCTTATCCACAGGTCATAACCGACTGATCCAAACTCAAACGTGGGTGGACCACCACTTTGAACGCACAAGCCAAGGGGGGAAAAACGTGAACGGGCATTAGCACTGGAAAAGGCACTGCTGCGAAATATGAGCCCTAACAAGTACTGAACCCACTAGACTGCTAGCAGCCTATTTAACCAAAGAAAAAGGGGGTTCTGGAAATTGAGAGTGCCCAACTTCTTGGCACCTTGTTCTCCATTAGCGGGTGCGCCGGCACCACATGGCTTAAGGGCATGGCATGCTTGAACATGCCACTAGACACGCCTGTCCTCGGTGGCCGCCAGTGACAGTACCCTCTCCACTTAGAACTTTTTCCTGCCTGGCGCTCACTAGCCAAAGAAGAGATGCACACAGGCCTCCATAAGTGATAGACGCGCTGTTTGAGAGGTGGCTTCTTGCTTGTGCACTCGGCTGCTGCCTTTTGTATGAAAGTCGTAGCGCTGGCCGCAAACGTACACTCTGTCCATCTTGCGGACCTTCCCTGACAACCTGCAAGGCTGCGATTGTCACACTGTGCTGTATCTTTGGTTAATGAAATCATGTTTGTTGACGAACTGCCTCGAGTGTCTGTTCTGCGCCGTTTCGGACAGTCGATAAACCCGGCCATAGCGTCTTTGTACGCAACGGCAGTGGCGAATGTTACGTCCCTTCTCAGTGGCTTTCCCCACACACTAAAATGCACTCTGTCCACTTTTATGAAAGAAAAGAGAAGTCAGTTTTATTGGCTCTCTAGCTACAATTCAGTGGAACTGCTTTGGTCTAACATGGCAAAAACAGAGAATTCTAAGTGCACTAGTACGTAAGAAATCGCATGTAATAATAGTATAAGCATGTTGAGTTTGGCTGGTTAGCAAATCACTGAACTTCAAGCAAAACACTAGAAACGACAGAAAAAAAATGAGATCCTTGGCTGTGTACTCATTTTTTTTTTTAGCTTAGGTATGTGACCTTTACAGATGACTTTTTCTTTTTTAGCTTAGCTTGCTAGTGATCAGTTACAACTTTTGGCAATTCTATATAATAATAACTATGTAAGGCCAAAACATTCATTGTAGTTCAATGACTTTCTTAGGTAATTATTCATATGCAACCAGGCACATTATTGGTCAACCAAGATGAAGCAGGTGACACAGATTTGGGCTGTTGAGCACTAAAGAGAGAAAGAAAATTTTTATTGGAAAGAGGTTGGTTAAAATTGTTTAGAATTTCACATCAAAATAAAATGCTATCAGTTTCAATTCACATCATTTAAAGAGACGAAAAATACACACACCAGCTGGGAATTTCCTTTCCACATTTGAGAACTTGTAGACAGTTTTTTTTTTTTCATGGAGCACCAACACAGAAAGGAAGACACAACGAGAACAGTGCTGCATGTGCGCTAGATCTATGCACCATGGCTGTATTTCTAGGTCAGAATTGCTGATAGCAGCCCAGCAATGTCTTTTGAACATAAGTGATTAAATCCTCCCAATTTCTAGTGAGAGCTCCAGTGAACACGTCAGTCAAAAATTATTGCACTGCATTGTAACAAGCAATTCACAATCCCCCCCCCCCCCCCCAAAAGAAAAAGAAACAGTCAAGAATTTCTTGCTCTCTCCTTGGCAATATGTCACCAACTATGCAGCAAGAGGCCATTGGGGCAGGCAAGAGGCAAATGGCTAAATTAGTAATAAAGAATGCCCTAGTGGACAATCTTGTAGATGATGTACCACATTGTGCAGAAAGCACAGCCACCATGAAGTGCTGCCACATGTCAGCCCCACACCTATGTGAACCAGAAGTAAAGACCAGTATGGCCAAAGATTATGGCCAAAGAAAAAAAGATAGATCAAGATTAGACATTAACGTAACTTTGCGGCTGTCAACGGCAACATTACAAGATCGTGTCAGTTGTTAAACTGTGCCTGGGAGCGGTGCAAAAAAGTGACCCTCTGCTATCTCCACTCGTGAGGCGCTGCTGCTACGATTGGCCCAGTTACTACTGAAGCTTTGCAAGGTGGCAGTGTGTCGCCAACCGAATGTCACTTCTCTTTATCTCATCTCATTCTCTCGTTGCGCTCCTCTCCTTAGCCCCAAGTATTCAAGAAATATCCTTTGTACTTTGTGCACTCTGTAAAAAACAGCTAATAGGCGAACAAAGAGGTCACTGATGCTTTTCGTGCAAAGTATATTACGTACACGTATAACTAGCCTGTGACATAAAAATCCAAATGCGCGTTTGGCAATATCCACAAAACACATGCTTTCTTCTTTGCTACAGCTACTTTGGGACTGTTTTTTAGTTGACAATTCATATCCCTCGCAAAAAAATACATTCGCATAACAATGAAAAATTTCACTTCATGCATGAATGCGAACATAAGGATTGCGCAGCCAAGAAGAGGAAAGCAGCACCCCTCTAGATCATCTGAAACCTTCCAGAATATGTCTCCACGCTCTTTCTGTCTTGCACTCTTTCAATCGGTGGTCGAAAGCTCGTCGAAGAGCGATACAAGACCTTCGACGGCAACTACGTCGTTTGTGGAGCACACTTGTTCCCCAGGGTTAGAATCATTGCGCACTGCGTTTTTTTTTCTTTTTCATTTTTTGTGGGGCTTGATCTGAATAGCAGGCCGCACGGTGGGAAGCTTGCGCCTTTTGAGGACTATGATAAATATTTCGGGCAATTGGGAAAAATACATGATATTGCGTCTTCTTTTAGCATACACTTATTCACGTGGTATGGTGACCACTTCACCATTGACGTTCTGGATGAAATTTCGAGGTCTTCTGACTGAAAGTGCACGTCACACATGACACAAGAGGTGGTAGGTTCTTTGGCGAGCTTCGGAATGCGCACTGTCATTCCCAAAGACGTGAATCGGTCTTTGGTGGCGTGAAAAATACCTATTTTTGCTTGAAGGTCGCACTGAGTCGTAGCCACTCCAGCAATGATTGATATGTGGGGTTGGACGTCCCAAAACTACCATATGATTATGAGATAGGCTGTAGTGGGGGGCTGATGATGATGATGATGATGATTATGTGTGGTGTTTTATGGTGCAAGGGCCATATGATGGCCAAAAGGTGCCAGGTCATGAGACAAGTGATGCGAACAATGATTATGATAGGTGGCTATATAAGGGCCTTAAAATTCCTCGCGCTAACGCGTGTAAAAGCATAGAAGTAATAAAACGTTGACATTGACGTGAAACATGTACAGCGAGGGTGAATGGCGAAAAGTCGTGATAGTCGGACAATGATGGGGATGTAGCCACCGCAGCAGCGACCTCTCTTCAGAGGTCGTGCTACGGAGCGCCTGGGTATATGACATTAAAAGTACTGTAGCGGGCG